GCAAATTACGGCCGTAATCGTAAATTTTGACCGTAACCGTAGCAAATTACGGCCGTAATCGTAAATTCTGGGCGTAACCGTAACCGGAATTTTCGGCTATGTATCTAGTACCAAACATTCTGACAACGTTCTTATAACAGGTTGCCTTAGGGTTCCGCAAACATTCTGAGAACGATAAGTGTTGAGAGTGAGGTTATTATTGACACCATAAGGCGTTCTGCCTATAAGCGCTCTACTTGTTATTCACCTTTTCATACTTCGTGTGTAAAGTGTCGCGCCCTACCGGCCGTGTATGTAAACAGTCAGTTCTGAATAAATACCCATTGAGTTCACATCGCTCTCGTCATTAGCCCACCACTCTGACAAATATATGATTAAATAATCAATAATGTGTGCTCCAAGGGTGGCTAGATTCCTAGACCCAAAAGTTTATTAAAAGGGACTTTTGAGAGAAAGCCATGTTTTATCCGGGGAAATGTGTAAAAATGTATCTACAATTTTATTTTGTAAACAGGATGTTATTTCTTAGCTCTACAAATTGAGATTATTTTGAAATTTTGATTTGGTCAAATCAGGATTTCAGCAGGGCCTCCCGTCCAATACAGCTTTGATATCAAATAATTCCTTTTGTAATACTCTTACCCAGCCACTATCATCCAATCTTTCTAATCCTGTAACGTTGCCGTCAAAGCGTTGAAGCTCTTCTGGCTTAAGTGGGTTGAAGTGGTGCGTGAATCGGAGGTACCAATTCCACGTAGGCTTGTCGGATGTAGGTAATTGACTCTGATCACAGTTGTAGAATTTAGTACCGTATGCTATATAACGGCCCTGGAAAACGAAAAAACGAGCCCCAATTGAGGTAACTCAGTATGTACCGGGTGTAACTGAGAATTAAAAACAGTGTTGCGGGATTGCATACCCACCAGGGCTGCAGGGGCCATGGCGCCTTCCGGGGTAACTGGGTAGGCAAACCCGCAACACTGTTGCGCATTCTCAGTTACACCCGGTACGCATACATTCGTGTCAACCCAGGTCTCTATATTTAATTAAAGGTCCAGTCCAGAGAACACGTAGATTCGATGTAAAATGTTCCCGTACAAGACGATTTTTGTCATGCAGTCAGAGAAAATGGATTGGACATATTTTGATTGTCAACCCTGCGCTCTTTAAAGAAAGTAAGTAAATATATTGCGCCCTGCTCGTAGTTATGAAGTGCTTTTTCATTTTTAAGTTAACCTGTTTTCCGCCGGTGGCGTAGGCAGATCCGCCTTTGTTGCTAGCCGTACTCGCACGGTTGTCCAGATCCGCCTTTTGTTGCAAAGCCGTACTCGCGCGGCTGTGCAGATACGTCTTTAGGTTTTTCAACAAAACGATGGATTCAAGATTTTCTTAACAAGCAACCAAACACAAATGACAGCTAAATATGAGAGAAAATTGGAAACAGGCCTATTCTTAAACTTGTATCATCTGCTTTCAAGATAGATTCTTGATTAAGATGTTTTTATTTTTTTTGTGAGAGCGGTTGGAAAGAGGAGGTTTCAATTGCAAAGTTAGCATAAAAATCTCAAAATCGGCAAAATTTTGGTTACGCCCTTGTTCGTCCGTTCAAAACAGATTCCCCAGTGTTACACGGATGCGTCAGCCTGTTTTACGGTACATTTGTGATGAAAAAAGTTATGTCATGATATAACATAATCAGAAGAATTCAAGCTTAGGATGTGCGTGGGATGTCAGAATTGAGGAAGAGCCGAATCCGTTGTTCGCTTTTACCTAGTTGTCGTTTACAAGGAAGCAAAACAATGGGCTCGGATTTGAATATATAAAGAGATATTTGATCGGTTAGAAGAAATGAAGAATCCCCAAGATGGGTGCAGCTAGAACATAACAAAACGGCAATTTAAAAAAAACTAAAGTCTCGATTTAGCCCTCCTGAGTCAGTTCAAACAAATTAAACCTCTTGGGACCTCACAGCATGCGAATTTAAGAAACGTCGTGTGCTGGTTTGTTACCCAAGTAACAGAGATTAGTCAAGAATACAACAAACTGACAGAATATTGACTGAGAAATTTGCTCCTCTTAGCGATCATGACGCCACAAACCCACCTTGTACTAGTTTTCTAGTTTCATGAAACTCCACCAAGGTGACAAACCCGCTGAAATGGAACCCAGACTAAAACGTGACAAATTTTTGACTGTTTTGCACAACATCAGCTGATGTAAACATGGGTTTAAACCACTAGGAGCACGTAAGCTAATGCCGTACAGATCCATATGTGCCTCAGGGGTAGCATGTCACATGTAGGATTGAAAGGTTGTGGGTTCGAATCCCACTTGCAGATAGCATTTCATGTCAAATTCTGGCGGTGCAAAGCTGAGAAAGTAGATGGAAACCATCAAGCAGAGTGCCGCAAGGGCAAGGGCCTGCAACGTGGCTAGAAATATTATTTGTTTAAAAAATCCGTATTATCACTATGATGTCATTTTGACCTCAAAAAGTAGTCATTTTCTTCAACGGAAAACGTGTCATAGTGACTAAAACAAAATTGACCAAAATTTGATGTCATCGTGACATATTGATGACAAATCTCTGTTACTTGGGTATGTTCCGTGGCGGCCATCTTGTCAGTCTTCTTCATTTCTTCTAACCACTAAAATACCTCATTAAATTGTCCCTACCTAACTGCGACGTTGATGCTGCACATCTAATGAGGTATTTTAGCGGTTGGTAAAGAATGAAGAATCCCGAAGATGGCCGCCGCTAGAACATAACAAACCGGCAAATGTTTCAAAACCAAAGTCTCGATTTAGCCCTTAAATTTGTCTTAATGTAAAATCTGAGTCGACTGTGAGTCTACCCTTTTTCAGTTCAAAAAAGCAATGACACCATCCATTACTCATGTAAAGTTATGTTTTGATATGTAAGTGTAAGGAGGTATCATCTGCTAAAAATTTGAAACCCCTTAGAGCCCTCACAGCAAGCGATTCGAATTTAATACACATCGTCTGCCGGTCTGCCGGTTTATTATGTTCCGTGGCCGATATATCACTAAACAAAGGTTTTACAGCGTTGTGAAAATCGGGCATTTCCTTTACCGTAAGTCTCCTCGCAAGTGCAATTATACCTTTGGGAATAAAGTGTGTGTGTACACCTTTACAGTACCGCAAAAGTGTTGAGAGATTTGCCGTGGACATCCGTTTGATTCATGAGTGCTAACAGGACAGCTGCGAGAATAAGTGCCATTTTGAAGCACCAAATCTGGCCACGATGCTACAACGCACCAGCAGAACGAATGTACTGCGAAAGCTCAGTAAAGGGAGGCGTTTATAGTGCAGAGTGACGTCAAATGATTGCGTGCAACGTGGACCAGTCAAACTCTACACAGGAAGTTTCACATTGTCAACATCTACCACCAAAGCCAAGGCCTCCGTGTCTCCGCTATTTCATTTTGCTTTCATACTGGCAACGCGCAGTGCACAATGGTCTGGCAGCCACACTGCAAAATTCTTGCAAAGAATTTCCGAGTATTGTAAGGAAGTTTGCATTGCAAACTATTTTCTTTGCATTTGGGGTGTTCCAACTAAGACCGCGCACCCGGGCATCTCAAAAATTCAGATTTTTGTCCAAAAATTTTATGTTTTGCCTTTTGTTCTAACAACCTTAAAAAGCTTTGTCCCGGGGCTGTGGGTCGAAAACTCTGGATTTGGTAGAGGTTTGAAGAGCTGCATTGAGACAAATTTAGGACTTTTGCCTAAAATTGGTTTTTCCTTCACAAAAACCGTCATTTTGATCCGATTACAGTTTGCGTGACACAGATTTCAAGGTAAATAAGAGACATACAAGATGGTTTTTCGCGGAGGCCGATAGGACGTTTTGTTCCAATCCGTTCAGGAGATATCGCACCGCAAAGTCAATCTACCGTCAAAATATGAATTTTGCTGATTTTGGGTCGATCCAGATCGATCCAGGTCCGGATAAAAGGCGAGGGATTCTCACATGAACTCATCCATGGGGGTTTTCGAGTATGCCGAGTCCTTTTTCGGTGTCCTTCTGCACCACAAGGGCCATCCTGGGGTCGTTGTCGGGGACCTCGAGATAGATCTATCTTTCCTCTACATTTCTGTGTATCCCACCATCGAAAATAACCAACATGACTAAATTTCACTCACGAATTTTTTAGAATTGCAATATCATTTGAACTGTGTGTCCTAAAAATCTGGCGATTTTTTTGAGTGATAGGTCTTGTCGAGATCTGCCATTCGGCGTTGAGTAAATTGAATTCGGACAAAAACTGCGACCGTTATCGCAAACGTCCACTTTGGCTGTTTTTCTATCAAAAACGTTAACACTTCGTGTAAACTGCGAAACGAACCCTTGATGATGAAAACTAATCCCAATGTTGATAAAGAAGTAAACATTTTCAGTTGTACGGGATGTATGCGTTGTAAGTTAGCCTATGCTGTCAGCCCATATTGCGTCATGGCCCCTGCAGCATGAAATGGTATGCCGACCCGCAACACTGAATATAGAGGTGTTCGCTCTGACCAAGGCACTGACCACCTGGTACCTAGATTAAAACTATGTTGTCGGTGTGGTAGCATGAATGTGTGCACCGCAGAAAGTTCGGTTGACCACCAGAGAGCTTGGAGGCTGTAACATTTTAGAAATTTACTTCATTGCGCTCCCTGTTTTGGGTACACTCAACAAAGGGGCGGCGAGCAGGGCCTTGAGCAGATTGTTGGCGGTACTGAGGTAATGTGGAATTGCACTCCAACAGGTGGTCGCGGCGACATCACGCTCTGGCCCCCCGCACGCTGCGCGTGTGGTAGAAACGGGTTCGTTTAAAAATTGACTTTGAGGCCCGATTGCTCCTGAACAAAACGTCCTATCGGCCTCCGCGAAAAACCATCTTGTATGTCTCTTATTTACCTTGAAATCTGTGTCACGCAAACTGTAATCGGATCAAAATGGCGGTTTTTGTGAAGGAAAAACCAATTTTAGGCAAAAGTCCCAAATTTGTCTAAATGCAGCTCTTCAAACCTCTAACAAATCCAGAGTTTTCGACCCACAGCCGCGGGACAAAGGTTTTTAAGGCGAGGGGGAACCAACTTGGAAATTTGGTGAACTGTGAATATATTCAAATATTCAATGTCACTGAATACCAGTGAATATCACTGAATACCAGTGAATATCACTGAATACCAGTGAATATCACTGAATACCAGTGAATATTCACTGTGATTGTTGATGAATATCCTTGAATATTGATAAATATCGATGAATATCGATGAATATTTTGAATATCTTGTGAATATTCGCAAATATCACCTGAATACCTATTAGATATTAACCAGCGGGTGCACCGTGAATAGTCGAAGTTGATGCCCCCTCCTTTTAAGGTTGTTAGAACAAAAGGCAAAACATAAAATTTTTGGACAAAAATCTGAATTTTTGAGATTGCCGGTTGCGCGGTCTTAGTTGGAACGCCCCGAAAGCGAAATAACTTTCCGAGGCTGTTTGTTATGTGTACGTGTACGTGGTCGAAAGTTGGGTTTACAGAGTGACCACCTGGAGAAAAACTTCATATAGCAATACTTTCTAACACTCGTTGCACTGTGTCAAGGGTGCCTGGATACATATGTCAAAATCATTTAAATTCATGAGTTGTGCAATGCCGTGTTACTTTTTTTCTGTTCAAGAGCGGCCTGTCACTGTCAGTGCCTTGTCAAGTCGTTCAAGCGGCTCAAGTTTTGTAGGGCCAGAAATCTTCCGTGGTCTCCCTACCCCGACCCCAAGAAAACCTACTCAGAAACCCAGGAGAAAAGGGCTGCGCATGGTTGCTACAGATCAGGAGCGGTATAAGGAGGGGACGACAGGGGGGTGGGGGGCGATGCACTGTGGGTTGCCTACATACAGGGGTTTTGTATACACAAATTGCCTACCTTTCAGGCGGCTCACTACAGACGATGGGGGGGCCCGTTTAGAAATGAGAAGTTCCGGAATGTGTCCCCCATCGGACTCAGTCCGAAATCCGTCTTTCGGACAAGCCCGAAAAGACGTAAAATAAGCCACTTTTCGGAACATGTCCGATGCTCTGCACTAGTGGGACATCGGACTCGTTTCGGACTCGGACTAAGGGGAGGCCCGAGAAAAAGCAGAGAAGACGAGTATTCGATTCCCTGCTCGTCGGACTTGTCCTTTCCTTTCCGACGCTCTAACCAACTGAGCCATGCTGACTTCTTGGAGACGATGCCATCGGGCCGCCTCTTCAACGACTCGCTCTATAGACAAAGCGTCGTGCTCTGTAGAGGGCGAACGAAATGACGTACACGAATGCGGTTTTCGACAATAATGTAGGCGATAAGGGACGCTCTACGATGTCTACTTGAGTGCGATACAATACAATAAAACAAAATTTATCTTACAACAAAAATAATGAAACGAACTTCAAACTACATAATTTAATGCAAGACTATGTCATTAGATTTTTGATTATAAATGAAGAGTGCGAGCTGATGCAGAAATGTAAATGCAGACACCGATATTAAATTCAGTCTTCAATCACAAGTTATTGACCAAATTTAACTTTGACAAGGGACCTAAACAAAATTTGGCTTCGAAGAACGTCTTGGGAATAGTCGAATAAGAGGACCCAACTGGGTCTGTTAGTGGACGCAATTCGGACTCGTCCGTACCTCATAACCGTACCAGGACTGTTATCGGGTTTAGTCCGATGCGCATCGGACTAAAATCGGGCGAGGCAGGGATTCTGGAACACCGTCCGGACAAGCCCGATGTTGGTCGGTCCGATGGAGGGCTGAAACCGGGCTAGTCCGAACGGCGTGCAGACTAACCGCGGAACAGTCCGAGGCTCGACGGACTGTTTCGGAACAAAAGGGGAACAAGATACGGAACTTTTCATTTTTA